ATTTAAAATACACTTATACTTAAACAATAAAATATTATATTCCGTATCGTATACAGTACATTAATAATTTAACTTAAAAAACTATTTTTTCTTATTTATTCGTGCTAGCTTTTTTTATGACTTATCGAAATACAAAAGCACACTAATAGGGACAGGCACAGTAATTGGGACAGTTAATCTATGTTAAAAAATTCAACACAAACGATTAACAAGAATGTGAGTGGACGTTGTGGTTTTAAATACAAATACACAACATTTTTTATCACATGTATATATGGTGGTCTCTCTTACTATGAATTTTACACATACTTTTCAGAATCATGTATTTGATTAAAATTAGCCGTTTATTGCATAGTTTGAAGCGTTTTTATGCTCAGTAAGTACAAGGTCTACAGAAAGTCACTGAGAGGAGGGGGGGGAGGGGAATATCCTTGCTTACCGGATATAAAGTGCTCCATGCCCCGGAAGGCTTTCTGCCCTTCTATTCTTCTTAGAGCTCTCGAGTTAAGACCGTCCTCTTCCTTGTTAATTACATATTCTATTTGGTTGTTTTATTTAATATTTAATATACTAAATTTTTTAATATGCATTATTTTATATTAAATATACAAATGAGATGGTGCGCGCGCCGGATACTATATATACATTATTCTTATCTCATCTATCGAACATATTTCAATAATAAAGATATTTTCAAAAATCAAAATAAAATAAATAAATCCAGATTTTTTTTATTATAAATAAATTATTTAATATGCATAATTATTTATTGAATATAAATAAGATAGTACACACACACACAGATACCGAATATATATTTTTATCTCTATCGAATATGTTTCAATAATAAATATATTTTCAAAAATCGAAATAAAAGAAATATATAAGCTACAACTTATCGGTAGAGTATCACGATGTGAGATATCTCTATCCGTTTATTCAACGGGAGAGATTTATCGTATCCATAAATTCTTGGCATTGCCTGTATACGCGTGTTTCCGTTTGTCTGGTGAATAGAATGGAAAATCTCGAACTACCAGAGTTGATTATTCCCATCGTGGGAAAAAGTTTGTTGCCATACTGCCACTTCGACATACCGGAAAGCGACTATCTGTCCAGCAATAGACGCGACATGAAACTGCCTGGACCCATCGGTTATCAACCGGATGATAATTCTCTTCCGGAGGGCACGAGAGTGATTGAGCTCGACGTGATCGGAATCAGCGGGTCTCACATAAAGTAAATATTATGAACGTTTTTCAGCAAGGACACAATGTAACACAATGAATTATTATATCCTTATTGTATGTTAATATTAAACAAAGATAGAATATTCAAACTTTAAATACGAAGCGCCTTTTAGTTCCGAGTGTTAAGATGTTGAACTAACATTCATTTTAAATTAAATTAATTATTCAGAAATAAATTGAGAGCCGATAAATTATCAGTTTCACACAATCATTCTGATAATCCCCCCAAATTTTCCCAAGTCTTAAAAATTGTAATAAACTTATTGCGAAAAATATTGCCTCGGCCGGGAGTCGAACCCGGATCTCTTGCATTCCGTGCGAGCGTCCTAAGCCTTTAGACTACCGAGACAGAAAGATAGAATAATTCACTGAATTACACTGTATTTTTATTGAAAAATGTTCTCTGTCTAATCAAAGAAACACAAATACAAATGCGTTATCACAAATTTCAGAAAATTCCGAATGATAAATCCGACATCAGATGATTATCATTTCATCTGGGAGGATCGTACTCGTCACGCCGATGATGAGATTTCAAAATTTCATTGTGCACTTCCGGAAGGAATCGCTGAGCGAGGAAAACAAGTCGACTTCGCGTTTACGTTCTTCGCGGAGAATATCGGCACTTTCGAATCCTTTTGGTTGTTCCGTGTTAAAAAATATAATTTGGAGTATCTCTTTCTATTCGTCGCGACGGTCAGAGAACCATTGATTTGCTGTCCTCGTGTCCATTTAAAAATGAGACCAACTGTAATGGGTTAGATGAAGATACCAATAGAAACATATGCTTTCTAAATTCTTTGAAGTGGAATCTTACTTATTTTGAAAAAGAATGGCTTAATCTTTAAGATTCAATCTTTAAGAGTGATATTTTATTTCTCAGAGTGAGATTCACTTCAAAAGTTTTAGAGAGTACAAGTTCCATACATTATTATATATTAATATTTGTATTTTCTACAGGCGTCAATGTGCGAGAATCGATAAGCATAATCAATAAAGAGGAATTTCAGATTCCCTTTCAGATCACGCGGGACTCTTTATATTCTGAAGGACGTCTTCAAAATTTGAAAATAACGCCTATAAGTGGCATTTTGCCTGCAAAAGGCGAACAAATACTTTGGTAAACATAGAACAAGCAAGAGTTCTAAACATAAATATTTTAAACGTTAATTAAATACTTGTTATTTATAGGGTCGAATATCAGCCTACACTTGTTGGCGAATTCCAATTTTGTGTAAAATGCATTATAAAAGGAATGATGGCACCGTTGACTATATTTGTTACGACTGCAACATATGATATTATTGTTTCGGTTACATATGTCGATCAGAACGGCCAGATAGTTCAATTAAATCCAGATAAAGAGAATATTATCGACTGTGGAAAAGTGCGTGAATAATAATTTGTTTTAACATTAAAAATAAATTTTGACAATATTAAGAATTTTTAATTTTTAGTTGTTGTTAAAAACGCCCGTTACTGTCGTGTTTGAAATAATAAACTCAAGCAAAATGACGCTTTATTATTCTTGGGATCTCGGAATAACATCAGAAATAATTAGCAGAAATATGTATACAATAGCAATGCCTCAAAAGCAGGACCATGTGCTTAGCAAGTCGCGTTCCATCTGTTCTCTCATTGTTACAGCGTTACAAAAAACAGTGATAAAGAATCATCCCATTCTCTTGAAGGTAGCGTTATCGTTTAGATGTCAATATTGCCGTATGTTTTATGAGAAACGTAAATTTTGCAAATATGTGTCCCTTTTCTTTATTCAGATTTCCAGAGGGCCGACCTACCGACTAATCTTAAAAGCGACGGCAAATAAACCAATTCTAGAGTTTAGTTTTAATTATTACGACTTTGGACCTTGCTACATTCGAGATGTTTCTGCGACTCCTTATCACGTCGATTTACGCATTACGAATTCAGATGATGTTTCGTATATGTAAGCTGATTTAACATACTTACAGGAAATTGAGACATTAATTTTCGAACGAAACAATTAATTTTCACAGACTGGAGTGCAAGTTTGAAGAGAAACCACACATCTCTGTAAATCTGAACGCTATTTCAAAGACAATAGTCGCTCGATCAAGTATTGTCATTCCGATAACATTTCGACCTTTAGAACAGGTGCACTATCGCGATGATTTACATTTTATAATTAACTCGACAATCAAAAAAAAGATTACTATAATTGGCGAGGGAATTATATATAAGGTAATGACATAAATGTATGCATTAAAAATTAATTCAACATATAGTCTATGCCATTCGTAACAACTCATTAAATATTTGACGTCATCGTAGTCAATGCAAAAACTTATTATAAATTTTATTTATAATAAGTGAGTTATTTTTACTTGTACTTTCTTATGACAGATTCGTTTAGTAAATCCACGCGATAAATCGGTGGATCTTGGTAGCTTATCGATTAACAAAACAACAAGCAGGAAAGTGCCAGTGATCAACGATGGACGTGCTGCGCTCAAATTAAAGTTCGATCTCATAAAGAATCTACCTGGATATGATCTATTCCAAGAAAGAATACCAAATTGTCCGTTGATAAATCAGGAGAACTCCAAAATGGATCGCATTCAAGCATCGATATCTGAAACGAAACGTTCGAATACTCTTGACGAAACTCTTCAGATGGAACCTAATCTGTCTCAAGTTCTGGAAATCGAGCCGGCAGAATCGATCGTACTTCAGCCAGGGAAAATCGTGAATGTTGTCGTAAAGTACAAACCTATTCGCAGAATGCGTCCTTTTGTCGTTAAGGTGGCTTTTCAAACCAATTCTACGATCCAACCGTTATTTATCTTGCGCGGAAGCTGTATAGGAGCAAAATTCCATTTGAACAAGACTTATGTGCCTTTCGGTATCGTTGTTCAAGGTTGTCTTAGCGAAGCAAAGATAGTGCTATTGAATATGGGAGATATTGGTGCCAGGTTGGTGCCATAAATAAAAAATAAACAACAAATATATGTATAATACTTTATATTAATCTGAAAAATCAGAAGATTTTGAAATATCTTTTGAAGTTACATAAAGTTCTTAAAAATATTCTTCTTCTTTTTTTAAACAAATGATTTAAGCGTTTACTAATCAAAGCTACATCTTTAATGCTTAAATAATTCAATGCGTCATATATATATATATATATATATATATATATA